TTTCCTTTCCTTGTAAGTGTAATTTCCACTTACAAACTAATTTTGGCAATAACACGTTTTCAACACACATATACAGATACATACAAACACACAGACAGACACATACAAACACAGAAACAGACACCCCACAGTTTCCATTCCAAAATGTCAGCCATGAATCAGTTACAATAATGTAAAACCCATCCGTTACAAAACAGGCTGGATTCAAATTCCCTGTCTCCCTTTTGTTCTTTCTTTTTATAAGAGTGACCTTTCCTGAAATTTGCATTTTAAAAAGATGGTGGAATTAAGGGTTCCTAGAGAAGACCAGGTAGAATATTTGCATATCAAAGGCATAGGAGGAGAAAGGCAAGTTCTCCTAGAAGGACTTTGTTCTCTTAAGGCCAGAATTTTTTTTTTTCCAATACTTAACAAACCTCTTAATGTAAAGAGGGAAGGTTTGGGGAGTGGTAAAAGGATTGGTGGGTTTTGGATTGTTTCTGTAGCCGCACCTCTGGTCCTGTAAAGACTAGATTTGTAAGACAAGGACAGTTCTTAATTCCTAAAGAATTGGGTGGCCACCTCAGTGTTTGATCAAAGGACTGACATACCCATTCACCTATGTTGGAATGTTTTACTTTCCCTCGTTTAGCTGAGGTGAGAAGACACCCGCACCCCCCCATATTCCTATCAGGCTCCGAATTTCAGCTGTGGTCAGTTTAGTCATACCGGTGGCCTCCCATCTTGGTAATCCATTTACTAACACTTTTGAGCATCCTCCCTGGGTTTTAAGAAATCCTTTAACTGTGGCCAGTCAGTTAGGCCTTTGATCTGAAGAGGCTCACCTACAGCCTCAGGTGGTCCCATTTCTAAAGGTAACCATTTAATGGCATCGTCAGAGTGGACAGGCACTCCAGACAGGATTATTAGAATAAGTAGTCAAATAAAGGAGGATAGAGGGGAGCAGTAAAGTTTTAGGTACCTTTTAGTTACCTTTTATATCATTGATCTTTCATTAGCCTTCTGCAACAAATCTTTCAATGAGACCTTTTTTTTTGGCCACATCACACAGCTTGCGGGATCTCCGACCAGGGATGACCAGGGATCGAACCCCAGGCCCCTGCAGTGAAAGTGCTGAGTCCTTACCACTGGACCACCAGAGAAGCCTGTCAATGAGGCTATTTTGGAATTTTGAAGCCTTTCAAAATTCTAAATATGAATGAAAATAGGAAAATAAGATGAGAGGTCTCTAAAATTTTACAGTTGAGAAGTTTTCCCAATTCAAAAGATCCTAGAAGCTAGCGCTACTAATATTTTCCTATGCTAACCTAATTTTAAAAAAGAGAAAAACTCTTAACTACTGTTGTTTCCAGTAGACCCTGTGGACAGAGGTCCAGGAGACTGCAGGGTTTTACTGCGCATGAAAAATCAGTTTTGGGGTGCTTAAAGGAACCCATCTTGGGGACTTCCCTGGTGGTCCAGTGGCTAAGACTCTGTGCTCCCAATGCACGGGACCCGGGTTTGATCCTTGGTCAGAGAACTAGATCCCACATGCCGCAACTAAGAGTCTGCATGCCACAACTAAAAGATCCCACGTGTCGCAACTAACACCCAGTGCAGCCAAATAAATAAATAAATATATATTTTTTAAAAACCGAAAAGAAGCCTATCTTGGCCATTTCAGGACAGATTTCCTTTAGTTCCAATTAAGTAGTTGCAAACATACATAAGCCCAGCTGGTATTCCCATTGGTGGCTGGTTGAACGGGAGCTGTTTGGCCTTTGAGGCACAATTTCCCATTATTAATGTCTAATTCAGCCTAATGTCTAATAGCCTAATTCAGATATGAAATATGATCTAAACAACTTTCTGAGGGCAGTGTGGTGGATTGCATGTGCACTGCATCTGAGTCTAGCTCCCCAAGGAGTTACCCGTGGGTTACTTCGACTCTTTTACCTGTCTCGGTTTCTCCCTGCGACAGCCTAAAACCATCACAGGTGCTCGGAGTTCTAGGTTATCAGCCTCAGTTGCCCATCCCCCCTCACACCTCCACGAGCAGTATTTACTTAATGGTTATGGTGGGTCTCCCTTTTTCTTAAGAGCTGAATAATTCAGTCTCTCATTTCACTAGCAACAGTTTTGTTCAGACCGTATAGCAACTTTTTTTTTTTTTCAATTCAAGCCAAATTTATTTATTTTATTTTTTACTTTTTGGCCTCACCGGGGGCCATGTGGGACCTTAGTTCCCCGACCAGGGATCGAACCCACACCCCCTTGCAGTGGAAGCCAAGGAGTCTTAACCACTGGACTACCAGGGAAGTCTTCCATTCAAGCCAAATTTAACAAAAACCCAGCCACCTGTGTTTCTCTGGGCCTCTTGCCCAGATCCCCAGGTCCTGCCTAGGGAATACACCAGTGCCCCTTAAAACTCCAAGTCTTAAGTGAAAACAGCTCGAATAAAATTTTCAGGATCATCACTCAAACAACAAGATCCAACTATCAGGAGAACTCGTCAGAACCCCTGAGAAGAACACCTGAGGAGTACCGAGAAGCTGGGGGGGCCCAATGGGCCCATGCTGGTACTTAGTGTTGGTTCCGGTAGACTCCACGTGCCCTCTGGTGGGTGTCTCTCATATCCTGCCGGCTACGCCATGCAAGGCAACGAAAAAGTTAATCGGTCAATCTAAGAAAAAAGTGGAAAACTTTATTCAAGCCAAAGTGAGGATTATAACCCAGGAACGGCCGCTCAGAAAGCTCCGAGACTGTTCCGCCATTAGAGGTCAACCCACAGTTATATAAATTTTTGAGACAGAGGGCTGTACATTAAATGACGTGTTATTGACAGTTTACACAATCCAGGTACAAAGCGAGTAGTGGATTACGGGTCTTCGGTGGCCCCTGACAAGATTAAGAAGGTTACCTCCTAAGCAGGTGTGGTTAATGCAGGTGCACAGCACACACTAAAGGGGAGGGAGGAGGCCCAAACCGGCAGAGAAAATTGCGTTTGAAGTTTCTCGTCTTGTTGTAAAATGTGGATTTTGTTTCATCAGTCTGTTTCCCTGCCCCTTCCAGGTCCCAGCCGTCGGTTCAAGCGGGTTGTAGAGACCATCCAGGCTCAGCTGCTGAGCACTCATGACCAGCCCTCCGTGCAGGCCCTGGCAGGTGGGAGACACCTTGGGGCACCCGTGGGGCGGAGGGGAGACTTCCTGGTGGCCAGGTGCTGCGGTGGGAGCGGTGTTACTGGCGAGGCTTCAGCTGTGGGGCAGCAGGGCCCACCTGCTGTCCCACTTAGGTCCTACCTGCAATGCTGGGAGCAGGTTCCCAGAGAGGCTGGGGCCTGAGCTCTGAGGGAACCAGGCCATCCTGAGCCTGAGAAGGCCTCACCAGGGAGGGGACCTCCAGGGATCCCTAAGGGGATGAGCCGTCTCTGTCTCGGAGGTAGCGGAGCTTTCTGCTGACAGAGGCTCCTGAACTGTGTTCTGGAGGAGGGTGGCCGGCCATCCTGGTTTGCTCAGGTTGGAGAGGTCCCTGGGATGCAGGAGTTTCAGTGCTAAAAGCGGGACAAGTTGGTCATCATCTCTGCAGATGCTCAGACTCTTCTGGCCCTGCTGGGCCTGGCTTTCAAGGACTTGGGCGTCCACCCGGGAGCGGGCGAGGTCTGTGCTCCAGGGGGAAGGGGCTTCCCTTCACCCACCAGCCCCGGTCTTCGGGAGCAGAATTCCCTAGCAGCCAGGGATCAGCGAGGCCAGGGTCACAAACAACAAACTCCATAGTTCAAACAACATCAATTTATTATCATACAGTCCTAGAGATCAGAGGTCCCGCACAGGCTAAGCAGGCTAACACCAAGGCACCTGGAGGGAGGGCCTCAGTAGTAGGGAGCTGGAGAAACTCTGCCTTCTGTTAGTCTGGTTCCCCAGGGCAACCAGAAGTGAGGAAGGCCCCCTGAACCTCTCCAGACCCGGTTGCCAAGGAAAGCTGGCCTTGACAACCAGAGTTCCTAAAAGGGCATGCATTCATGTAGGACCCACAGACACCCAGGGCCCGAGCCACATGCCTTATAAGGGGAGTGGGGCAATGGGGGACCTCTGGGTCTGCCCCAAAGAGGGGCAGCTCCAGTGGTTGCTATGGCAACAAGGCCTCCAGCAATCAGTGTCTCTTAAGGGGCTGGCCTCTGCTATAGGTACTATTCTGGGCCCTACAGAAACTACTGCATGGCTGCTGGCAACCAGCACTGCCACCACAGTCCCCTAGTCGGGGTCAGTGAGGCCCCACAGAAAGATAACCGCAGTCATGCAAGCCCAGCTGGGAGAGCCCGAGACCCCCAAACAATCTGCTGTGGGCTCTGCTGGGCCCCATTAACAACCAGTGGAAAGTAAAGGGGCCCTTTGGCCATGATCGGGGGACTCAGACAGTGCTGTAACCAGAGTCTCTGAGGATGTCTCCTGAGCTGGGCCGGCCAGGTCTCACTGGGGCGTGGCCTGGCTTCCAAAGCCTTAGGTTTGGGGGTGCCTGGGACACGTGACTTGTTGGTCTAGGGAAGCCAGGCCTAGTTGCTGGCGTGTGTGACCCCTGGCAGCCACCTCCCCTGCTGGAGCACATCCCTGGGCTCGGTACCCCTGGGGTTCCTGAAGCCAGATCGCTTCCTCCCCAACAGACGAGAAGAATGGCGCCCAGACCCGGCCTGCCGGGACCCCGCCCCGAAGCCTGCAGCCCCCGCCCGGCCGCCCAGACCCAGAGCTGACCAGCTCTCCCCGCCGAGGCCCCCCTAAGGACAAGAAGCTCCCAGCCACCAACGGGACCCCCCTACCCTGACCCCAGGGGGCCGGGAAAGGAGGGGCGCCCCCTCCACCCCCCTTCCCTGCCCCCCAACTGTGAATCTGTAAATAGGGCCCAAGGAGTACGTAGGGAGGGGGGAGACACAACAAACCCGGCCTTGCCCTGCAGGGATAGGGCTCAGGGGGCCGTGCCCAACGGGGGTGGTTCTGGGGGGACTGGGGGGGGGAGCTGTTTCTATTTTATTTATTGATTAATTTATTATTTTATTTATTGATCAATCTCTCTGCGGGGTGGGGTGGGGGAGGGATGGGGTCTGGTTGGGGTGGCTTAGCAGATCCGGACGGACAGGGCCATCTGTCCTTGTGTCCCCACCTCCCCCTTCCTGGGCCCCCCTCCCCTGGTCTTCTCCCTTCCCCCACGACCTTCTGTACGGATTTGCTCTCTGGAAGGAATTCTGATTTCGCGTGATCCTGCCTGCGTCCGTGTCTCTGATTCCGCCAGCGGCAAAAAAAAAAAAAATTAATAATAATAATAATAAATATCCTTGATCAGGGATGGCTGCTGGCCTTGGCCTCTCGCTTCCTGGGTGGCCTTGGTTGCAGGGGCGGAACCAGATGGCAGGGACAGGAGGTGTGAAGACGCTACGATGACCAGGTGTTCAGAGCTGGACCTTCAGGGAGATGGGGGAGGCCGGCGGGGGGCTCAGGCTGCCAGGGCCCGGCTGGAGACACAGGGTGCAGCCGTCCAGGCTGGAGAAGTCCACCGCAAAGAGGCCAAAGAGGATGAACAGCAGCATGGCGACGACCCATTCACAGGCGGCAGAGGCTGAGCGCAGTGACCAGGTGTGGAGGACAACCACTGTACACCAGGGTCAAGGGCACAGCGCCACGGGGAGGATCCGCAAGCCCGGCTAGGTTGCTGAGTGACCTTGGGCAGGCTGAGACCATCCATCTCTGGGTACCCTCTCTTGACATGTCCACCCTGCCCTGGCTGGAATGGCCCCTCTGGCTGGACACCCTCCTTGGCAACGCCCAGACACTCTCAAATGGATGCCCTCCAGTTCCCGCCTCTGTCTCAAGCTGTTTTCTAAATGTTTGCCCTTGCATGTTTCTCCGGTTTGCACTGCATTCCCAATATCCCAGAACGAGGCTCCTATCTTCCTGTCGGCCTTCCCTGACCCCATGAAGGCTCTGCCATCTCCCCACTTGCCAGGGCCAACTGTCTGCCATTGCTTCTACCTCCAAAAATGCAGGGCTTCCTAAAGATGCCTCCACCCCACCCGCCAGCCTCAGGCTGTGCTTGCAACTTTGTTCCCCGACCCAGGGCCCACAGGCCCTTCCTGCTCACTCCCAAACAGAATCCCCCTTTCTCCCTAAAAGCTCTTCCTCTTTCTGGGTGCCCCGACCTCCGTAACCACACCGTCCACTCCTGTCCCCTAGCAGACCCGTGGGAATCGCCTTCGTCCCCTCCCTCCTCATCCCCATGGCCAGCTGGACACCCCAAGTCTTGTCCTCTCTTTCTGGCCTGGCATGTCTACTGGTTGGCCCTGTCCCTCCTCCGGCTCCACAGTCCCAGCTCTTTAAAACTCTTTTGTAACCACTGGTCAACACATACTCTGAGCTCCCACCTTGCAGAGATGCCTCTCGTTTTCTGGGAGCATCCCTCTCACTGGAGCACTCCTCATCCCACCTAGATCAGATTAGACATCATTTCATTCGTTCAAGGATTTCTAGACAGTGAATAAGGCCAACACCATCCCCAAGCCCCACCGATCCTAGAACAAAGAAGTGCTTACCCCAGAACTGACTTTGTAACTCCCCCACTCACAAGCTTTCTGTGGCTCCCTATTGCACTTGTACAGAAGCATAAGCCTGTAATCCCTCACTTTAGCGCTGCAGATGCTCATCTCTGGCCCTGCCAGCAGCCTCATCTCCTCCCCTGGGCTGGTTTTCCCACCCTCCGCATGTACCCGTGGTGTCCCTCCCTCCCTCCCTCCCCCAACCCAGGCCAAAAGCAGCTGGTTCTGCAAGACCAGCTCAAATGCCAGGTCTCAGACCTCTCTTTGCAGCCTTCTAGCCCTTATGGCACTCAGCTGACCATTTTATGGTCCTGTCCCCCACTTCCCGCATCCAAGGGATATCAGAGCCCCACAGAATGAGAACCCTGTGGCCAAACTGATCAGCACAGGCAGGATTTTGAAAGGGGCCGCCTAGACCTCATCGTTAACTGCACCTGCTGCTGCACAGGACGGATGCTGGTTCTGCAGCTGCAGAAGGCTGAGCTCGGGAGCCAGCCCTTCCGATCCATTTCACTGGATTCAATTTGCTGCTCTGGGAAACGAGAGCGCCACCTCCATTTTGCTGGGAAAATGGATCCAATTTTCCAAAGGGATCCGCTGAATGCAGCCTGCCCAGGGTCTCAGCTGGGTTCCCTCCAGCCTCTTCTGGATGCCAACGACCTCTGGCCTCCCCTTCCATCATCCCCACAGGGGGCCACAGTCCCCAAGGCTTAGCATGCAGCCCCTCCTCTCTCTCAGAGCACTCTGCTTCTCAGTAATCATCATTATTCTGATAAAAGCAACTCCATTCTACAGATAGGGGATCTGAGGCTCAGAGAGTGGTTTGGCTCACCCAGAGGTGTGCTGAGCTAGTGGGTTCTGGGGTGACTCAGAAGTGGGCTGGAATCAAGGCTCCACCCACAGGCTTGCTGGTAAATGTGTAACAACTGGCTCTGATTTGTAGCATTTGTCAGTTTCTTGGCCGTTTCAAGCTATTACTAACATGACATCACTGCACATGGACCTGCGAAGAGATACACACAGACAGCTCAGGAGACCCTGTACCAGCCACCTCCAGCCTACCACCAGCTCTGCCATTGAACTTCGTGACAGTTCTTGGCCATCTGAACCTCCGTTTCCGGTCTTAGCCAGCACGATGCCCCGCACAGAGTGGTACCCCAAACGGACTGCTGTCATCGGTTTATCGATCTCCCAACATGTATTGGTTACTCACTATGTGCCAAGCACCATTCCAAGCAACTCACATGTGTCATCTCCTGCATTCCTCACATTCCTTATTATTATCCACATTTGATAAATGAGGAAACTGAGGCACTGAGAAGTTAACAAACCAGAAGAGTTCCCCCTGCTCCCCCAACTAGTATGTGGAGGCAGCGTGACCCCAGAGCCGCGGGACTCGGTGACAACACCACTATAATCCTGCATGGAGACCGAGGCTGAGAAAGGAAGGAGCACCCTCAATAGCGCACAGCAGACCCACCCCAATGAAGCCGTACCCCCAACACCTGTCCCCAGCCCCAGGAAGGATACTGGCCACTGTGAGGATGGTGCAAATGCTGCAGAGGACCAGACGGAGTGGCCCGATCCAGGGAGCCCCAGGTTGGGGCAGGCTCTTCATCCTCCAGAAGAGAAGGAGCTGTAGCCAGAAGTAGAATATTCCCACAAAGAAGGCAAAGAAGGCCCCCGTCAGGTGCGTGGCCTGCTGGTTCTTTTCCTGGGAGAGGAAGGGAGCAGAGTTGAGGGGCAGACCTGTGGGAGGGAGAGGGCCACACTGCCATGCGGGGAGGCGCCAGGACCAACTCCACGGACTGTGCTCGAAAACTGCCATACCCGGCGAATGGCTGATTGATTAGGTGCATTGGCTATTGTCAGCTCCATGAGGCCAGGCATTTATTTAAACCTGCTGTTCACTGCTGGGGCCTCCATCCCTAAAACAGGGCCTGGCACATAGTAGAGCCTGGTAAAAAAATTTTTTTTAATTAATTTATTTTGTTTATTTATTTTTGGCTGCATTGGGTTTTCGTTGCTGTGCACGGGCTTTCTCTAGTTGCAGCGAGCAGGGGCTACTCTTCATTGTTCTACGTGGGCTTCTCATTGCGGTGGCTTCTCTCGTTGTGGAGCACAGGCTCTAGGCGCGCGGGCTTCAGTAGTTGTGGCACGCAGGCTCAGTAGTTGTGGCTCGTGGGCTCTAGAGCGCAGGCGCAGGTTGTGGCGCACGGGCTTAGTTGCTCCGCTACATGTGGGATATTCCTGGACCAGGGCTTGAACCTGTGTCCCCTGCATTGGCAGGCGGATTCTTAACCACTGCGCCACCAGGGAAGCCCAAGCCTCGTAAAATATTAGTGGAATAAATCCTTCGTTCTCAACCTGGGTGGAAGAGAGCAGATTGTTGCCACCAAGGGGGTAAAAATTGGTTCTTGGAGGGTGAAAAAATATTAAATATTACAATGGTTTCTGGCTTACAGATATAGTATGTATTATATTAAAATGTTTTCATATTAAAAACTCCATGGCGGGGGTGGGGTGGGGTGGGGGGAATTTCCCTGGTGGTGCAGTGGATAAGACTCTGTGCTCCCAATGCAAAGGGCCTGGGTTCAATACCTGATCGGGGAACTAGATCCCACGTGCATGCCGCAACTAAGAGTTTGCATGCCACAGCTAAGGAGCCGGCAAGCAGCGACTAAGGAGGCCACAGCCCACAACAAAGGAGCCCACATGCTGCAACGAAGGAGTCTCCCTGCCGCAACTAAGACCCCACGCAACCAAATAAATAAATAAATATTAGGAAAAAAATAAAATCTTCATGGAGGGAAAGGATGATTAGGAGAAAATGTCTAAAAAACTCTTCTGGGGACTTCCCTGGCAGTCCATTGGTGAGGACTCCAGGCTTCCACCGCACGGTGCTCGGGTTGGATCCCTGATCCGGCACTAAGTGAGGCAGGG